AACGATAAATATAAAACCAACAATAAAAGAGTTGACACGTTTATTTCTATAAAATAAAGGTCTGCAGTGTTTACGCTTTATATACGTATATACATATATTTATACAAAATATATGGCAAACTATTCTGTGGTCGAAGATATTTAATCAAACTCAGCATTTGCGAATTTCACTTTTATCACATATCTGCCAAAGGGAATTGTCTTCAAAGGTATGAAATCTTCGGCGTGTCGAAGATTTCCTTCTTTTCTAAATTGTCGATGTTAGCTGCAGGAGTAGATAATGTAAACTTCTATGTAAGCTGCCTTAACTCGGTCGATAGTTAGAGCCGTTGATATCGTGATATGGTTTCATCGCGTAGGATAATATTTGTACATGTTTGAAATTCTTTTGGAGGAATACATTGGTGATGTGATGTATTTACAGGCTGGGACATGATTGAACGCTTGATAAATTCACTTTCGATGTTATCTTCGGAAGGTTGCAGTAGACGGTCATTGAGATCTTCTTTACCTGTAGCTCGATAAGCAAGTAGTACAATGGGAAGGCTATCGACTCAGTTCGAAGCAGTGTGGTATTTGATGGCGGTCTCCAGCGACTTGGGCTATTTTTCTATTGGCTTGCGAGTATTTTGCCGATTTAAGACTTAAACTGTCTGTCTTAATCGGTAATCATGAAATAAGGTATGCTGCAGTGAGCGATCCAAGCATGCAATAGAAATTTATGTACCGTATCTGCATTTATTTCTGCTGTTGGGACTGCAAGCGGTCAGAATTGTAATTGTTGGAAAGTAGCATGGGGCCAATTTTATCAATGTTGATATTATTGAATTGCTTTTCAGGCAGGTTGAACTTTTGAATCGCTTGTTGTTGACATTTATGTCTCTCCAGACGAGACGTTCGGTTATGAATTTCACTGTAGTGCGCTTACCTGTGTTTGATAAGTGTGATAATCGAATTGGAAGCTTGCTTAAGGTAGCTGTAGCTTTAAGCTGTACAGTACAGTGCAGCTGCAACCTTCGGCCTTATGTGAAAAGTGTTTAACGGAAAAATTGCCAGCAACTCACGGTAATATATTCTTTGCCCTATTGTAGTTCAGATATCCCAGCGGCTGGAGTAGTTGTTTCACCACTCACTCAAAGCTGCGTATTCATATTCGTATAAGAAAGTAGCTCCTATGATTGGTTTTGTGACGTCAGCGATGACAACTGTAACCGTAGCAATTTTTGTTAAAGTGCTATTTGCTGCGTAAAGATAGTTTGCAGGGTGAGCGATGCGATCTGTGGGAGGTGAAATTGAAACATCAGCGTCTGTGTCCATCAAGTATCTAATTTTTATATCTTGATCCGTTACGAATAATCGACGGCTGGTAGCTTGATCCGTTTCGAATAATCGACGACTGCTAGCCCCCACTTTGTTTGCCGTCGCTGACAGAGTGGCTTTTTGTTTTCCGGACAGAGCTTTTTAAAGTCGTGGAGCGATCAGGCGACTTAGAATTGCTACGTGCGCGCTTCCTGGTCCCGATTTCTTGCTCGGCCCGTCGATTTCAGCGTGATCTTTGACGTCGTTAGATTCTTTTTGCAGTAGGAATACCGTTAAGTGGCGCTGAGCTGCAAAAATTTGGTCTGCTTGCAGAGAGACTGTAGCCGAAACTATCAATCACATGAGTATTTATATCGATGACCCTAAATCTTGTGTTTTCACATATAGTGGCAATATTGTGGTTTCGATATACTTAGTAATATTTGTTTTTAAGTAATTTCACTATTATTTCACAATAATCGAAACGATAGCTCGAAGATTATCTGGAACACGCTCTAACCATAGCGCTCGAGAGAAATTTGTGTGCCTGCTAAGTGTTTCATGCATTTCAACAACTCCGTCGGTTTAAGATAGCATGTGCTTGTGCACTCCGGTGTGTTTCTTGATGAGAATTGCATTGATTGCATCATACTTATTATGCTGTGGTGTATTTCGTATGATGTCTTTGCACAATTCACTGCAATTCCAGCGATGCAATCATTTGGAGATACTTTGTACTATCACACACCTGATACTGTGTGGCTCCATATGTATGAAATATAAATGTTCTTGCTTTTTAGAAAATGATGGCGGCTTGACGCCTGCCCGAAAAATTTCATGATTATCCTAAGAGTGGGATGTCGGGGTAACCAATGTGAAACTTAACTTGACAATCTTATTTAAAAAAAAAAGAATTGTTTCAATTAAAGTCGAACGAGTCGCTTGGGAAACTGAGATCTGATCTACTCCTCTAACAGTTCACGGCTAATCTCTAATGTATCGATTTTAGTTTTTTTGTCAAGTCACAGTGGTAATGAAACACAAACAACCGCCACATTTTCGATATTTTATACATTACTGACAGGTATAACACGCCCAGGTCGTTGCAGGTAATTTGATCAAAATTTAAAACATTACTTTTTCATCCAGTCTATTAGCAGTGTGCATTTCCACGTTATAATAAATATCTATAAGTTTGAAAGCTCTGTTTCTGCCCATTTTATTCTTGTGGTGAGAATCTTGAAGCCGAAAAATACATTTTCGGTTATTAGACCTTGGACCCGCATTTTTCACCCAAGTGGTGGATATCGCGAAAAGCGTATCAAATAAATATTAACAACGATTTTTTAAAATGATTTTGTAGCCGATCCTAAAGTAAACAAAACAGTTGAATGCAACAGTTCCGCTACATTTCTATAGTTGCGGTGGAAATTCCAAAATCGCTAATACACGTATTCATTTAGTTTTTATGTAGTTCTTTATAACAAGTTCTGATGGATGGTATCAAAAAATTGCAATAATATGCCTTTTACACATTATACAGTTTCTTGGCAGTGGCATCGGTGCAGTGATCGTCGATGACGAAATCATATAACAGTTTGTTGTAGTCGTCGTCGATCTCTGTCAGAAGCTCGTCCCGAAAGATAGCTCTTAGCCTTTCTAGTTAAGAAGTAGGAAAGGCTGACTTTTCAGATAATTATACAACTGTATTCCTGAGTTAATCTCGCGCAACAGCAACAAATGGATGACATTTTCATGGTCCGACTGGCCCTTTGCAGATGCACATCCGAGAGCTCCGAGAAAACCCCAGGCGACGGCGAGCCCAAATTTGAGGGCATTCCAGGCATTGGGGCATTCCCTATCTTGGCGGTGCAGTTTTCCAGAAAGACCCTCGAGCATTCGTCTGCGCACCTGATTACCCGGTACATTGTCTTCCATCAGGTCAGGAAGCGTGGGGTCCATCTACTACAATTTATCTTTCAGAACCCGGCGTCCAATAGAGTTATTGCCAGACAATCTTTGGCAACTTAATTGAAACCCCTGTTTTTAATCTTCTGCGTTACTGAATATTTTGCCCATTTAGGAAGCGCAGCTCAGTTTTTGCGACCGGTCCCGTCTTCTCTGCGCCGGATGCCCTGCTGGATATCGCTCCAACTCTTCAGCGACTGCCTAGCATTGAGTCTTGTCCTCCACATCGCTTGTGTTTGATAAGCTTGCCAAGGAGGAAGTGATTGTATTTGGATTTTCGCTTTTGCTAGGCTAGTTGCCTGATTGCTAATTTCCACTGGCCTGATTGCACTCGACTGAGCGCTTGGTGTTGGTCGATTAGTAGCTGAGTACTGTCCATAGAATCCGACACTGCTACCTTTTGGCTGGAGCCCAGTAGCGAGTCCTCGTCCGTGTGCGAAGAGTTCGGAGTATTTAGGCTGCTGAGCTTTCATTTTCATACTATACATTTTTCATTTGATCGATTGGTGGGTCCAAGAGTGTTAGACTCTGGGGCCGACCAAGGCATCGCCCCACAAGCATGCCAGGGAACTTGTACCACCCCAGGTTGCTTGGCCTCGGAAAGTCGCCTTAAAAAGGCAGGTGAATTTGCCCCTTAACTGGGGACCGAATGCCAGTGGGCACGGGTTGTATACTGGGCTTAAGGACGGCACTGTACATTCCCATGTGTTACCACGTGGAGGGCCTCCCGGCGGGGGGCTGGTGTCCACCCTCTAGCAGATTTCACCTAATAGTCGACCTGATATCACACAGGTCAAGGAACAACAATCAAAAAAAGCAATTGGTGATTATGCCTTGTGACATACGCATCCCTTCACAGAGCCTTATTTGGCTTGTAAAATTGTCGATATGCGATGAAACAACGCCTCCGATGTCAAAAAACCCAATACGCCACTCCCCATTTTTCCGTATCCAAGCAATCGATAAGTCGATATCGAAATTATTTTTCCCCAGTTTAATCCACAATTATACTAATTTTTTTTAAACATACAAATAGTATATAGCACATTAATATCTACCGACATTTCCTTTAAGAAAAATCAACCGGAATTTACCTAACGTTATTTCTTACCTGTTTACGAGGTTTCATCTTGGATAAAATTCGTAGAGTGTAGATTTAGACAGAATATTGCGTACCCTTGCGATATCTATAGTTCCTTCTACTTCAGAGCAGAATTTGCTACATTAATATTTTTACTCTATCTTGTGTCAGTTTTATATGCTGCTCGACGAAGTTTCGTCGGCTTGGTCAAATCATAAATTTGCGGTAAGGGATAGTTTGTCTTATATTATGTTGGTGCTCCCCACTGGGTGTGGTGAGCCAGCTTTATAGAGAAAATCTTAAATTTGCTCGTCAACAGCTTTACGATATATGACGTCAATTTTGTTGAGTTTTGTTTTGTCAACACCAAACTTCATGCGTATTATATCTATGAACCACATTATATTTGAGTATAGTAGGATCTAGGCATGTATATTACCACAGCTTACAATCGAAGCATTGTCAAAAATCTAGATCTGCTAAGATGCAAATTAAGTTAAATGTTATCTGATAATATAAAGAATACAAGTCGCCATACGTCCAAGCAGCAAAAGGCAATGTGCGTTGACCACTCTCAAATAAACATCGTACGAAATATTAAAACATTCAAAACATTATATAAATTACAAATAATAAGAATATTTATTTTCAGATTTGAGAATGCTAGAGAAAAAACTCAGAACCACGAAGGAAAAATTAAAGAGGAAAATAAATATAAACGAGATCCTCGAAATGATCGTCTTCAGCCTAAGAATGCACCTCTGCAGGGTGAACCAGTAAGTAGCAACAACACTATAATTTTGAAATACACATATTAACAATCTGATTAATATTTTGTGAATCAAATATTCATATTTAGAATATAATAAACTTTTTTTTGTACCCTGAACCCATTGAAAATGCGTTAAATGAGCCTAAATTGTATGTATATATATTTGCATGAAACAGACAGAAATAAGCTTCCCCGACCCCATAAAGTATATATACATTCTTTACCATCATCAAAAGTGGAGCGAATCTAGCCTTGCCCGTCTGACTGGCTGTCTATCCGTATGTATTAAGGATCTAAAAACCTATAAGAGGTAGAGACTTAAATAGTTCGTTTTTAATGTGGGTCCTCCTAGTGGCCGCGCAGTAACTTTTGTTTCCGATAATCGATAACTTGACCCGTTTCCAAGCCATCCATACAAATCGATATCGAAACAATGTTTTTTAAGCAAATCTCGTAAGTTATAAGAACTTGAGTCACCAAACTTGACATGTAGCTTCTTAAACATACATCATTCATTTTATTTATTTATTAAATGGTCGAAAAAAACGAGTGTCTTCCTAATTATTCAATATGGTAAATTTTAAAAGTTAACTACTGAAAACGTAATTAGAATACACAATTTTCTAATAGCGTCACCAACCAGATGTGTTTTATTAGCCGGTCCGGCCATCTATGCCTCTTTTCACAGCTATATTTGTCAGTGACGCTATTAGAGCCTACAGCTTAGAAGAAGGGTGTTAGAAGGGTGTTAAGTAGATAGTAGATAGATAGAAGTAGAAAAAATAGTAATGGGAAATCACAGAACGGGTGTGGGAAAATTTATAGCCTGTCCGGCAAACTATAAGCAGGGGTCATAGCTGGTGATGGTCAGTGAGTTCCCGAAGGTATCCTGAAAGCAACGATTTTATTAGGGGCAGAGATAGTTCGGTAGAGAAAACTTGATGCAAACTATTATAATTTTTACATAGCACGCGAAAAGGATTGTGCATACCGTAGTCTGTTGTGCACTTAGATAGGAATAAAGGGCGATAATTTCTAGTTGGTCTAGCCGGAACAGAGAATTGAAGACGCCCTAGCAGAAAAGGAGAATCTATGTCGCCAATAATCAAATTATTCAGGACAACTCCGAGAATTGTCCTATGGTTGGTTAACGACGGAAGGTTGAGAAGAAGCAGTCTCCTGGAGTAGGATGGCAACCGAAGATTAGGGTTCCAATTTAAATCTCGTAAGGCAAATAGTAGAAATTGCTTCTGAACAGATTCAATACGATTCTGGCTATTGTTATACTGTGGAGACCAGATGCAAGAACAGTATTCAAGGATAGGGCGTAGAAGAGAGATGTACAAAAGTTTTGTTATAAAAGGATCGTTAAACTCTTTAGACCATCGTTTAATGAATCCAAATACACCTTATGCCTCATTAACGATGGTATCTATGTGAAGATTGAAACAGAGTTTGAAATCAAAAAGAACGCCTAGATCCTTTACTGATTGTATACGTTACAATGGAGTATTGTCGATAGTATAACTGATAAAAAAAGTTGTGGTACAACTGAAGGTAATAACAATTCAGATGCAACTGTTGCAAAGTTGCTGCATAGGGAATTAGCGTATGAAAGAATAAGTTTCACATTGTCCGCATACATAAGTACACGGACATGTGATATAACTGAGGGGAGATAATTTATTAAAAGAGTAAAGGTCTAAGATGACTACCTTCAGGAACACCACAAGTTTTGAGATAGTCAGCCTCAGCTTTATTCTTTGTGTCGTACCTTTTAAATAAGAATAAAACCAATGCAACAGACAGATGATTCAGGGAATAGATTAAAAAGCTGTAGCAATGGACGAAGAAGGGACGAATTACACTCGTTGATTAGACAACTAGGAATTATGTCAGACCGAGGATAGTAAGAAGATTTTAAAGAATTTATAGCTAAGAGGAGAGACGAATGTTCCATAATGGGAGCAGGTATAGAAATAGAGGAATGGTAAGAATTATTGTTAGGACAGACTGAAGAGTAGGTTGGTTGGAAAAAATTCGCAATGAGGTTAGCAGAATCTAGCTTTTTAGCTTTATCGATCCCGAGAGAAAAAGAAAATGGCAAAATTGAAGATTTGCGGTTCAAGTTTACAATAATTGTAAAACTCTCAGATTTTGGGCTAATTGCCTTTTGCAACGAGTTAGATAATTCTAATAGCATTGAGAATTTAGAAGAAGATCGACTTGGCTATGGAATATTTAGATAAGTCAATACTCGAACCAGACCTATTAAACTTTATAAAATAATAAGATTTTATTTTTTTAGGTTTGATAGTCTGGGAGCAAACCAGGGTGGCTTGGAAAAATCAATAGGAGGAATTGAATAGGGAATACACATATCTAAGAGGAAGTTCAGGGTGTTATAAAAAAAAGTTAAGAGCAGTATTCATATCAACCGAGTCATATAAAAATAACCAATCGGTTGATTGAGCAAGGAATAGTTTCCTTTGCGAAAGCAACGGCGAGGCTTATTGGTAGCTGATTAATGAGTAATAATTGGATTGCAATTGAACATTGCAACTTCTAAAGTAGGATGATATACATCCTCTGTAAGAGATAACGAAGGGGACCTGGGCACATTGGAAGTAAGGTAATCCTTAAGAAATACAAGATCGAGTGTTAAATTCAAATGATTAGAAATTAAATTGATTTGAAACAACGAATGGTCTAGCATGCAATCTATAAAGTCTTGCTGAGCTGAGGGTACTAAATCATTTTCGGCAGTAAATAATGACCAAGAGATGTACGTCAAATTGAAATCGCCCAACACTATGAATAGGTCATATCACGCATGTTTGTAGAAACTTCTTAAATACAAGTAATATGTTTCATATAAACTTGAATGTCAGAAGAAGGAGGAACACAGGAGCATGTGATGTAAATATCACGTGATGGAAAAGTTGGCTTAGCTGAGACAATCTCTGCGTCGGTAGGCGTACTAAAACAGAAAAGTTCTGTGTGGAAAGGGGCTTTAACGGCCCCACCACCTCGAGTCGGGCGATCATTCCTATGCAAAATAATATTATTCGAAAAAACCTCCAAATCAGATATCGTTGAATTTAACCAAGTTTCTGAAAATGCGATTATGTCCGAATCGAAGGAAGTGCTAACCATAACAAGATTTTTATGTTAGTAAATGAGACCTCTGTCATTCTGATATTGAATACAAACTTGGTCGGAAGCCGAAATTCGTTTTATGGGATAATAATGGTACCCTGTTTCGAAGGGACTGGAGGGGTGACATGCTGGTTTCACTTTTTTGGCTTGAACATGCAAACAATCATGTTAGTGAACATATCATGTGAATCATTAATTTTGAAATATGCTATTTCACGAGGAGGAGAGGAGAGAAACTAAATTTGGTGATTGACACGCTAGCAGAAGATTTGCTAACAACAATATAGGCGGCTGCCGGCTGCGGCTGAATCATGACTGGTGTCAAACGAAAGTCGCTACACAAAAACTTGTCTGCGATGGGCAACAACTGTCAAAGTAGGAGCTGACGCGTCTGAAGGTAAAACTTGAGTTGGTGGGGCCAAAGAGGCACCGAGGTTGCTTTAAACAATCTGGACTTGATTTCGCGTGGATCTACTTTTGCGGCCAGAAGCGGTCGGGGCTGAAGCAGTTTCGCTGACTGGGGCAGGTTCAACTTCAGGGACTACTCCAGGGAATACAACAGGGGTCATATTTGGACAATCACTCGGAAAAGGCGATAATGACAACATTTTAGATAAATCCAGTTGCTAGGCACGGACAAAAGAGGCTTAGATATATGGATTTATAGCTATCGCCACCCGTCCGCCCCCACCCCATAGCTATAAATCAAGAAATTAACCAGTTTTAACTACCCACCAATTTAAGCCACAATTTTAATTCAATTATTTTATTAAGAATATATGAATATTTTATCGCACAATAAGATTTACTGTTGACAATTTCACCAAAATCGGTTAAGAAACACAGAAGGTATTAAAGAAAACGTGTGCTTATATTGCTTATATATATACACGTGTTTGTGGCAGCTAGTGTAACTTGCAAGAATTTTTGTATCTATATAGCCACATATATGCTTGTCTTTATTGTAATCTATAAACAGCATTGCAATTACGATTCAATTGCATTTTGTGATGTGTTTAATTCGTTTTTCCTTGTCGAAAATGAATTGTTGGTATGGCTGTCAAATAGGAAAGTAGTCCTGTCGGTACTGGTTCGAGAACAATTGAAGAAATATTTAAGAAAAGAAAAAAAATATAAACATATTTCAAATCATTTTTTATGTGAGCTTGCATTTTTTATCAATACTTGAGAATATCAGACCGATTTTTATACCTTTACGGGTCTTGAAAGTTAATGAATATAAATTTATTACTGATTTATACCAAAGACAATATAAACAGTAAGATGAGTAACGCCCTACAACAAAATGCTACTATTTTTTGAAAATTGAGAACGAAAACGATATTTGTAAAGAAATTATATAAATATTTTCATCGACTTAAAAGTACATATTTTCTACGGAGCCAACCTCAGTGCAAAACATGCATTCATATGTCAACACAAATTTTGGATAGTTCATGATTATCGCTAGAAAACTAACATAATTACTTTCTTGCCAGCTAAAGCCAGAGCAGTGAATAACAACACATACATACATACTTTATAGTTCTTATGCATTTATAATTCACGCATACAACGAAAGGTGCACGCACGCTATTGGCTGAGACAAGAACTTTTCTCGTGCATACACCGTCCAAAAACCAAAGTGAAATCAATCTATGTGTGCTATTTTCTTAACGTAGTTATTGCACAAGAAGCGCCGATAAAGCAAAATCACTTTGCGTTGATCGTAAGTTTAAAACTTATTCGCTCAATGTACTTCGAAAACGAAGCGACCAGCTTTGCTGAAGGCAGGCTGGCGACTTACTTTGTTGCTCGTGTCAGCATCAGCAAGCCGCGATTTCGGCATTCAAACAGCCAGTGGGCTGGTAAGTCGTGCGAAATCGTAAAAGCCAGTTTAGAAAACCAGGCTAGAAATTTTGCGTCGCATGTAAATGTATGGGCGTTACTCATCTTGGTGTTTACATTGACTTTTTTTATACACATTTTTTAATTTGAATCATTAGTTTTGCATCATATAATATATTGAAAAAAGAAAATTGCAGAAGTCCTTCCTTCTGTTGCACACAGTACATATGTCAGAACCAGCTGGATCGAACCACTATATCATATAGCTGCCATAGGAACGATCGGTCGAAAATTAAGTTGTTGTATGAAAAAACATTTTGTTTTTCAAGATATCTTGACCAAACACGGCATTTATTAGTTTTATTATACTCCTCATATATATGCAAAATCTTAAGATCGGGCCTCTATATCATAAAGCTGCCATAGGAACGATCGGTCGAAAATTAAGTTATTGTATGAAAAAACATTTTGTTTTTCAAGATATCTTCACCAAACTCGGCGTTTATTAGTTTTTCTGTACATGCAAAATCTTAAGATCGGGCCTCTATATCATGAAGCTGCCATAGGAACGATCGTTCGAAAATTAAGTTATTGTATGAAGAAACATTTTGTTTTTCAAGATATCTTGACCAAACTCGGCATTTATTAGTTTTACTATATATGCAAAATCCTATTGAGATCAGACCAGTACGACAGGAACGAATTTGTTCAATTTACCCATTTAGACTAATAGGAATAGCTATATCCCAATCCAATTTCATTCGCAATAAGTCGCACGACATAAAAATCGTTTTTAATAACATTAGAAGCAATTGCGTGAGATTCTGCGTAAAGTTCTGCTAACACAGAAAAGGAACGTATGTCCAGAAACGAAGCGGCATAAGTCACAGTATTCAGTTGAAGTATCTGTAAACTTTCTGATGCATATTGCCTCCTTACAATCAATGGATCCAAAATCGTGCAAGGGTGAAATCTAGATCCCTCCACCAAGACTCAGAACATATGGAAGGGGAATAATAACGCAATAATAAAATAATCAAAGGTCCCGATATTCCTTCTCAAAATTGTTCTACATATCTGCACTACGTCGTCCCTGGGAAAATTCAATTTATTTTAATTATTTCGACGCTTAGGTATTTCACTGGCTAAAAATCTGTCTGAACTTCAAATAAAAAAGAAACGTTTTTTTATGTCAAAGACAATTTAACCTCAGATCCAAATTCTACTATGCATTTAGATGCATATTCTGCACATGCAGTTTGAAACTTCTCACATTCGATTTGTTCAGCTGTAAATGCTTTTTCTGCTATCTGCTATAATTCCCAAAAACGTTGACACCCTGTCGTGAGAACTATTGTCTCTTTTAGTTGCAACAATGGTAATTTATGCTTTGGGTGATGTGCAATGCGAATATTTTGCAGAGGCAGTCCATCCTTGCAGTATTTCTGAATTGTTGGATGCTCAAGAGCCAGATTTATTTGTCCAATACAAAGAAGATCTTCACGACATAGACGTAAGCTTTGTGCTAAATACTCCGACATTAAATTGATTCGAAATCCTGCATTCTGAGATTACTACATTCCCCTGCTTTAAATTGTTGATGCAAATATTAAATTGTTTCACAAAAAAAAAAAACGTTTTTACATTTGTACAGAAACCTTTTTGGCTTTTTATTCTTATAAATAATATAAAATTCAATCAAACACAGAAATAATTACCTTTTTCATCACAGTACTTAGTCTTAAAAATGACTTCTAAATATAACGTTGATGCGGCCATCCTATTGTTTTACCCCTTTATACGAATTTCGATTGAAGAAACCAATTTTCCTTTTTGAAATACTTTTTATGGGAATCGACTCTTCGTAAAAATCGGAGGACCTTTTGCATAGATCATATTATTCCACAATAATTCTGGACGAATAACGTCTTGTTTCATATTTTTCCTGTCTATAATATATTGATACATGGAGCACTGCTTACTCACAACATTTCTTGCCCATTTTAATATAATTTTAGTTTAGCTTTAGTTTTCCAGACAATAAGTCTTTTACAGAGTTTGTAAAAACCTTAAATTTATTTCGGCCCTGTTTCCATACGAACGATCGGTCGAAAAGTAAAATGGCAAAATATTCTGTTTTCCATGATTTTTAATCAAATTTCTGCAAAACAGTAAGGGTATTAAATCTTCAGTATGCCGAAAAGATATCCTTTCTCTCGTCTTTTAAAAATAAATATAATATTAATAGTAAAGTATATCTCTAGATATAAAACTGCTTTTCCTGACTGACTGATTGACTGATTGGTGATCAACGCACAGCCCAAACCGTAAGAGCTGGGAAGCTGATGTAGATAGATTATGTGATGAAGATGGAGTTTCGGGGGATTCCATATGGAAAAATCGCAAAAAACCTTTGTATGAAACTTTTTTGGTTACCATCCGATCATCCTCAAACTCAATTTAAAAATTCTTTGTTTAAATTCATTTGAGGGGTGTTTCGCACTTTTTGGAAAAACCATCCTTCGTTGGTATAAATGTGGGTCAAAGATTTGGTGGGTGACGTTTCGCGCTTAAATTCATTTCCAAGGATCTATAAGAAAAATCATTTGAGAGGTATTTCACATTTTTCACAGAATCAAAGCATCGCATCCTCGGTACAAAGCGCGATTCTATGATTTTTTTTAGTGCAGATTAAAGTTTTGTCCGATTTGATTTAATTTTATTTTCAGAGCTCTACTAAAGAACTTAATAAATACGTGTTTTAGCGATTTGGGAAATTCCACCCACAACAGTGGTTAATAAACGAAAAACGTTTGTATTGGAGTTTTTTGCTAACCATCTGATCGGCCTCAAACTCATTTTCAAAGGTCTTTGTTCAAATTCATTTGGGGGGTGTTTCACACTTTTCGAAAACTTCATTCCTCCTTGGTGGAAATGGGAGTTAAAGATTTGATGGGTGACCTTTAGTCCTCAAATTCATTTCCATGGATCTACATACAAATTATTTGAGACGTTTGTAAAATTTTTCGCAAAATCTAAACTCCTTCGATGGAAAGTGCATTTTAAAGATTTTTTGATGAATTTTAAATTACGTCCGATTAGCATCAAACTTATTTTCAAAGCTCAACATAAGAATATAATGAATACGTGTTTCAGCGATTTGTGAAATTCAACAGTGGTAAAATGACAGAAAACGTTTCTATGAAAGTAGTTTGTTTACCGCCCTCTCAGTTTCAAAATCATTTTTAAAGATTTTTGAGAACATTGATTTTATAACATACCTGCCACGGGCAAGGCTGGGCTATACCCGCTAGTTATATATATATGTATATTTTGTATTACTGAACATATTATGTTATGCTATAGTTTTATTTTGTATCATTTATTTTCAGGTTTTGCAGTCTTCCAACAAATATTCTGGACTTGACGATGAATCATCCGAATAAAATCTATTTCTTTCTTTGTAATAAATGATTAAATGGAAATAATTAACAAACACATTTTACAAGTAAAAATAAAATCACATTTTTGAAACAAATCAAAAATTAAATAAAATCAAAATTGCGGATTCTTATAAAGCTTTGCGACTGGTAGTTGGTCAAATAATTGATATTGCTTTAGCAGTAAGAAATTTTTCAGACATTTTTACAAATTGTTTAGCTAATACTATTCAAATTTATGAGTGAATTGCAGGGTTGTTCCTTTTTTAGTTAATGCAAAAGGGAGTTTCACAAAATGACGGCTCTACGGTCCATTGTCTATTGAAACGCATCTTGCAATCTGCAGATCAGCCACTAATATTTTTTTTCGGTAATTGTGATATAACGTGCAACATTCCACTTTCCGCCCAACCGATTGTGGGGCTCACACATTTATCGTATGAATCGAATGCGCAAAGTCCAATAAACCAAAAGCTTTACTTTTTAAAGATCTTTATCGTATAAATTTGGTACTTTTACGTGTCGTTTAAAAAAAAAATCTGATTGTCCGCGGTGAATAAATTTTATATTGCTATTACTTGCGGTGCCGCATAGCTCCAACCCATCTGGAAATTGGTTTTAATACTATTTTATAGGGTGTAGTGTTTTAAACCGAGGTACAGCTTCCAGTCTGGCTAAAACTCAAGGAAAAATCGACGGATACCAACTCACTTTTATGGTCGGGACTTACTCAACCGACAATACTCGATGGGTTAGTTAGGCGTACCGCTGAAATTTACTCTGCGTTTGATTTTCAGTAGGGTTAGCTAGGGGTGCATCATTTATTTACTCTCAGGGCGAGGTTAGACGTCTGACACTCTTCGGGTGACTATTCGCGTCAAACCGTACGGGGAATTTAGAGACTGCTAAAAAGAAAAACTGCTAGCATAAAAAACAAGGCGAAAGCCCATACAATAAAAAGCACCAAGAGGGTCGGACACAATTTTTACCGGCAAGAAACCTAACAGGGATAGGGGGCCGCGCCTACTCCCAAACCAGTAATTATTAAAGTAATTTAAAAAGATGAAACGATAGGCAAGCTGATCAGAGGCGTCAAAGGGTTAATCATTTAGCTAAAGAGGGCCCCCGTCAGGAATATTGTCGTTATGAGATCTCGGCAGTCATAGAACGCGAAAAATGTTAAGCGGAGTTTCCCTGCCGTTTATTCAAGGGAAAGAGAAGGGACGGCTTTAAGATTTTATATGTATATCGACACTATCGCCTTATTGAAATTGACTACGATTATCCCTGTCGAAAACAATTTGACGTGAAATTAATAAGTATATGTTTTCATGTTTGGGGCTAAAATTTCATTCATTTTACTCACAAGTATTTTTACTTTCGATAGTCTAATTAGGACGAGGGAAGCGTCGTCTTCTCGTATAGGAACGGTATTGTCCCAAGAAATAGACCGATCACAATGATCTCCTTAACCACACATCACGGAAATGCACTATGGAACTGACGAAAGGGAATTGCAAACAATAGTATGGGCAAAGACAATATAAAAACTAAGATGAGTAACGCCCATACATTTGAATGCGACGCAAAATTTCTAGCCTGACTTCCTAAACTGGCTATTGCGATTTCGCACGACATGTCTGCCGACTGGCTATTCGTTCTCCAAAAACCGAACGAATGAATGCTGATGGTGACTCGAGCAGCGAAGTTAGCCGACAGCCTGCCTTCAGCAAAGCTGGTCGATGGTACCTTGCGTCGCTTCGTTTTCGAAATACATTGAGCGAAAAGTTTTAAACTTACGATCGAAGCAAAGTATCTTTGCTTTATCCATGAAATGCATGCTTTATTTAAATGATGTATTACCCTAGATAATCGATAACTTACTACGTTTCCAAGCAATCGATATCGATATCCTGTTTTTTGAGCAAATTGGGTAAATAATAAGAGTTACCAAAGTTGATATGTTGCTGCAAGAATATTAGATATATATCAAGAATTTTTCATTTTATACCTATCGCCAGCGGGGAGTACCACCGCAGAGCTATAAATCAAGTTAATAACCCAACTTATATTGCTAACTAATTTAAGCCATAATATTAATGCAATAGATGTTTTGAGAATAAGATATAGTGTAGAAAATTTCATTAAGATCGGTTAGGAAAAACCCAAATGTTATGTGCGCAATTGGATGGGGCAGCTAGTGCAAATTCCAAGAATTTCTGTATACATGTACACACAAACATTCATGCGCATCTTCTTCGACTTCGATTGTATTGTTTTCAGTGCTGCTATTTTAATTAGTTTTTTTTTCTCAATAAGACTCAATTATAAATGTGGCTGGTGAGTAGAGGCTGTGGCAAGTGGCGTGGTTAGTTGCGAGTTCGAGCGCTGCCAAAGGCACTTTTTTTTTATTTTTCTTTATTAATACAAACGAGTGCGTATCAGGGTATCCCCTAGTCGAAAACTCCCGACTAGAACCTTTTACTTGCTTATAATATAAATATGTTGCTCATTGATGGTGAACTATAATAATGAGCAGCTTGCACGACTTTCCTCTTGAAATTCAAATTCAATATTTGAGTAAATAATTTTTTTTTCGTCGTTGCAAATTTATCTGCACAGCTTAAGAAAGCGAAATCAAATGATATCAAGCAAAAACGAAGATCAGTGCAATAAACATTTTTGGCGAGCGCCAATGAAAATTTGATTATTTCACAGAAATAAATTATCGATGAACATATTTTTTTTCGAGTATTCTATTGAATACTATCTCCCTTAATTGTCACAAATTTAATGCATTTTTCAGTAGCTTTGTATTATACATTAGAAACTCCTTCCGGTGAATTTAAAACTTAGGAAAAAGCCGAACATAAGGAAGAGATGCCGAAAACGAAGAATAACGGACAACTTAATATACAAATATAGTGGTTGTTACATCCAATTATTTGAGTTGGCACTTTTATACAGATTATCTGTTTATGTGTTTCTAAGTAAAAGGACAAGCGCTAAATTAAATATTATATTTATTTAAAACACTGTTAAAAATGTTAATATGTAGTTTTGAAAATCTATATCTGATTTTAATCTTTGATTTTCTGCCAAATACTTTATTAATAACTGTTGAATAAATCTGGCGACAAACACGATAAAGAAAGGAACACGAAGTCATAGATATGTATGCATGCATCGCATGTCGTTTTGAATAGGTTTTCCACTTGGAGCGAACAGACGTTTTTTTTTTTTTGTGCTCTCCGTTTTGTTTTGGATTTAATAAAACACCGGCGTTTTAATTATTTATATTTTATATATTTCTATCAGATCACTTACAGATGTGATCAAGCTTCCCGTATCGGAGGAGGAGTTCTTATAGCTGTGGAGTCTGCTCTTTCGTCGGAACGCATTGATCTTCCCATCATAGAGATTGAGTTGGTGGCTGTAAGAGTTGTACTTGGTACTTTTTCTATCTTTATTTCATGTTCATCATTACCTCCTCTATCTAACTTGTCCACCAATCAAACCCATCTTAATGCTATTAAGTCTATCTCCTCCCTACTTTCTGATGGAAACCTTTTAGTAGTTCTTGGGGACTTTAATCTTCCAGATGTCGATAGGTCATCGCCAAAAGACTCAAACTTTCTGTTGCCGTCTTCGTCAAACGATTTTATTGATAGTCTACATAAAATGTGCTAACGGCAGGTTAATCGTGTGCGCAATTCAAGAAACAGATCTCCTTATCTAATTTTCGTGTTGGATTCGTTCAAATTTGGAAATGGTCATTGATTTAGCAGCCCGACTCCCTATCAAGGAATCGGAATTAGCTAAACGTATGATGTTGCCATTAAACCTTTTTATAATTTTATAATACCTAGTACTCGATTCTTGATCGTTCCACGATTGATCGATCTACGTTCCTCTTGATCACTCAGCGAGGCCTGATAGGCCTCCTTGGTTTTCAAATGAACTTATGAGGTTCAAAAATGTGATGTCGAAGTGTTATAAAAAGTTTAAGAAATCGGGAAATCACTTTGATTTCTCCCGTTATGCAGTTGCCCGATCAAATTTTTTACTCAAAATTCCATCTGTAATAAGGATTACCTTCGGCGTTGTCGCCTTCAATTTTCACATAATCTTAAGCAATTTTTAACTTTGTCAATTCTAAACGAAAGACATCTATTTTGCCTTCTTGGGTTAAGTTTGCAGATGAGAGCGCGAACACTGATCCAGGCACAGCCGATCTGTTCGCAAACTTTTTTTCAAACTACCTATTCCTTCTCTAGGTATAATAAACATCAGCCTTATCCTTATCAGTTACAGAGGTCAAACTGCATCTTAAATCCGATTATTACCGAAAGTTCCCTTTTTAGCGACCTTAACACTATCAAGCCGGTTTACTCACCGGGCCCTGATGGTGTTCCTGCTTGCGTGCTTAGATACTGCACTGCAGCATTATGTAAACCTGTTTTAAAACTTTATGAATCGTCCGTAAACTCTTAATTTTTTCCGACCATTTGGAAGCAGTCATACATTATCCCTCTCTATAAGTAAATTCGATGTCGAAAACCGAAGAGGTATTTCCAATTTATCCGCTATAACTAAAGATTTTGAGAGAATTAAACCTTCTCAGCTGCAACATTTATGTAGTTCTATTATTTCACCTTCCCAGCATGGGATCGTGAAGCGTAGATCTACAACCACTTACCTTCTTGAGTTTACTTCGTTTGTAATTGATGGGCTTAAGAAAGGAATGCAGACTGACGTCATCTATACTGATTTCAGTAAGGCTTTCGACTTTGTCAACCACTCCTTACTGCTTCATAAATTATGCCTTCTCGGCTTCCCAGCCAATCTTTTAAAATGGATTTCAGAGTATTTGCGTGACAGAACCCAAAAGGTTCTTTTCGGTTGGTTTCTTACATCCTTGATAGCTTACCGCTGGAGCGTGTTAACATTACTTCTAATGAAGTTAATGATCTAGGTGTCATCCTTGATCATAAACTTAAATTCGACTCTCATGTTAAGACCGTGGTCAATAAGGCCAGAATCGTTATGGGTTTCATCCAGCGATGGATTTTATG